ATATTTTATATATATAAAACCCCTATACTTTTTTTTCCCCATAAAACATGGTAACCTAAGTGATTAAAAATAATGTGTGTAAGTAATACTTAAACGAACTATTCGATACATCGTGTTTGAATTTTCGATATTTTCATGTTCTATCCTTTAAAAGGTCGAGACGAAATTATTTACCAAACACAATGTACGATTTTGAATTGGGAATAACTTCTAGACTGTAAGTTCTATTTAACCAAAACAAATTTTTATTTCGCTTAGATCGATACATCTGTTTCTTTCTCTCTCTCTTTTTTCATTATTATTTCTATTTCTTTTTGTCTACTGTTTTTTAAAATCTAACTTGACGTTATCATTCCCTGTGAATTTGTATATTTACGAATCATTCTGTAGCATATATGTATGTGGCAACATTTTACGTATGGTCCAGTTAAGTATGTGTGTGGCACTGTACGTTTATATATGTGGGTGTTCGTATTTTTTAATATTTTATTTGGTAGAATTTTTGTGCAGGGATTCGTTGGATATATCCACTCGTAGATTGTAATCTGCTATTTATTCATAGTAAATATTGAAATGAAAAATTTCGTTAAAAATTCTTGTTTCGTTTTTATTTTTTTTAATTTAATTTTATTATATTTCTCTCGCGAATATCATTTGTTACAGGATATCGTATCGTTTTGCAGTTGATGTAATTAATTTTTAATAATTTAACTAACGAACCGTCTTTTCTTGTCGTAAAACTAAAAGAAATATATTACGTATCGAGAGAAATAATTTTAAGGAGAAAAAAGAGAAAAAGAAAAAGCAAAAAAAAAGAAGAAAATGTTTAATTTAAAATTAATTGGTATGAAAATAAATATTGTAGTTAATTAAAATCTTTTTATAAATTTGCAATATGGAGAAAAATCAGAGTTTATATGCAGCAACGTTTTAAAAATGTTTCAAGTTTACTTTTTATTATTTTATTATATAGGTGTTTGTAAACGTCGTGAATCGTTTTATCGGATGAAAATATTATTAAATCACGTTAATTTATTCTATTATTCGATATGAATTTATTTTGCAGAAAAAGAACGTATAGGTAAGCGAACGAGAAAAAATAGAAAAATGACGATTATTATATTTCACTTTCACAAGGAAAAAATGATAGAAAAGTTGTTGGAGCGTTATAACAAAATGGTCTATCAAATTTTAATAATGAAGATCTTAATCGAAAGAAATTTTAATTAGATAAGAAAGTTTGTAATTAAGTTATAGGATGAGGCAAAAACAGAAAAATTAAGTGAAAGAAGAAGAAGAAGAAGAAGAAGAAGAAGAAGAAGAAGAAGAAGAAGAAGAAGAAGAAGAAAAAGAAGAAGAAGAAGAAGAAGAAGAAAAAGACTGTACTATTGCTATAGGAATGAAATATTTAAATATCATTATTCTTTCGGTATTATCGGCAGGAAATCGAAAAAAAAATTCAGCTCGACTAAACGAAAAAGATAAGGAAAGAAAAAGGAAGGACAAGAATAAAAGGAAATAAAATAAAAGAATGAAATCCGTTTCCGAGTTTAATTCGTTATTCGATCGGTGCAGTCAAGTAGGAAAATCTTTGAGACAAGTAAGACAAGTAAGATCTCTTTTGCGTTAATTCAGAAAATTTCTTTCCCCTAACTTCGCGAAAGTCGATGGCGTTTTTCCTGTGGTTAGCGTCTAGAAAACTCATTCGAAACTCGGATTAAATATCTTATGAGAAAAAAAGTAGAAAAAGAGTAAGTAGCAGAAGAAGAAGAAGAAGAAGAAGAAAAAGAAGAAAAAGAAGAAAATAACTAGTAACTAAGAAGTAATAGGTACGACGAAGAATTCGTGGTAAAAAAAAGCATTTAATGTTTTTTTTATGTGAGTTCATTTTTTTTTTCGCTTCGGAGGAAGATAAAGAGAAAAAGAGAGAGATTATTTTAACTCTCTATAACGCAATATTTTATACGTTCTGTAAAATAAATTATCCATTACTTGAAAGTTGTAGTATAATATTTGAACGGTAAATGTTATTATACTAAGAATAAGTTTAGTTCATATACGAATGGGTTAAAAATTTATAAGTGTCAACAAAAAAGTAATTCTTTTATTTAACAAAAAAATTAAAGTTAGTTAAATCGAGGAATAATTATTAAAAATAATTCATATAAATAATTATTTTACTAATTAATTTTTTTTAAATAAACGAACATCCACATAAATTACAAAGAATTTTTAAAAAGTCTATTTGTCAAAGGACAAAAAGTAGAGTAAAAGAAAATATTTTCATAATATTTTTTTATCTTCGAAAACTTCGTTTATTTTTTTCCCTCTTGCTTTAAAAAGAGAGATCGATTTAAATCGTATAAATTAACCGTTAAAATTATACGACTAATTTTATTCTATCCCATTCTATTAGAATCGATGAATATCTATGACCGAAAGTTAAAAAAGAAAATAGGTTTCGTTGTCGTATTTTGAAAATGTTTATTTTTCTATCATCAAGCATTTATCAAAAATAGCAAAATTTTCAATAGATCGATGTGATCTTTTTCTTTAACAGGAGTTGAATGATTCGATTTATGCTAACAGCTAGTAAATCGTTTGTTCGTTCGTGAATTTTGATAGGAAGGACGATGGATTACCGAGCGTGACGCTTAACCGTTTGTGAGGATCTTTCTTACTCAAGAGAAACGTAGTCCAAGCGAGATAATTGAAAGCTTGTTTGTCCTTCCAAGGAATTAACGTTTCGATCGAACTAGCTATTCATCTCACCCTTGCACTCTCTCATTTTATCATTTATATGTATGTCTTCAAGAGAGAGAGAGAGGAAGAGACAAAGAGATGACTGAATTAACATTCTATCGAATCCGCTATCTCTCTTAAACACTTGCTGTTCTTGCGCATTTTATCATTTATAAATATATTTCCAAGAAAGAGATAATTGGATTAACGTTTCGATTCAGCTATTTTACTATCTTTTTCTATTTTGAATTCTTACATTTACGTTTATTGTATTATTTCAATTTTTTTAAATAATTGTGTTTTTTTTTCTAGAGAGATTAGTAGTTGTTTGAGTTTTCTTTCTGTTTTTGTTTTTTTTTTTTAGTTCACGTTGATAAGACGTGAATTGTTGTTGATAAATTTGTACCTTAATATTGTCATCTGAAGAAAACGTAGCTCACTGTCAAATGAATCAGCCAGAGATTGAGGACAGCACGTGATACTCCGTTTCCATCGTGCACTGCAGCTGGTAGTTCTCCTGTTAACAACAATTAAACAAAAAAATGAATAAAATTATTAAAATGTTCAATGAAATATAAAAAGGGAAATGTTTATTCTTTTTATTCTTTTTCTTTGCTATTTATTCTTAGATTTCTTTTTTATTGTTTTCACTTAGGTTAGGTTGGTAAACTCACGATTGCTCTCTACTCTTTTGATTTCACGTCTTTTCTGTCATCTTTCTCATCCCCCCTCATATCAATGTACACGTATTCAGGAATTATAATCGTTCTTTGTCCTATTCGTTTCCTCTTACTTTCAATATTAGATCTTTTTCTCTTTCTTTCATAAATAAACGTACTTCACAAGGTATAGATCATATTCTCTTTGAATAATCGCGCGATAGAATTAACTCATATGCACACACACACACACACACACACACATACACACATATAACTAACTACCGCTAAAATCTTCAATCCTACAATAGTAATATGCTAAAAAGGGTAAAAAAAATCGTTGAAAGTTCTTATCGAAGGGTCGATTGTAAAAGAAAATTTGTGAAAGAAAGAAAGAAAGAAAGAAAAGAAAAAGGAGAAGTTCTCTCGTAAATCATGATGTTAAATATTTTATTTTCCGGAAGAAAGACTCCGGTGCTTAGATTTCGTCCTCGACGAACGACGAACAACGAGCAACGACTACAACGACTACGACGACGACGACGGGAACGCATTTGTCATTTCATTAATGGCCGTACTACCCGTCTATAGGTTTTCTGTCAGATGCACTCCGACGACGTGCAGCACAGGGCTTGACGTATTTTGCTTCTCGTCGTTGGTTCCGCTTGAGCGTGCACTTGCCGAAGTACGCGAGTTGCGCTTCCTAGATAATAGTTGGATGCACTTGGCTTTCACCGAAATTAGTAAGGCCCCTCTTTATTAATAGATTCTACATGGGCGTAGACGCAAAACGGAAGTGATTCGATGCAACCTTCTGCATGCACGATGTTCTGTCACAATTCTATTCACAGTTGTTATCGTCATTGCATTTTAACTTGTATTATGATTATATCCTACAATTAATTGATGTTTGTATATGTTTATTTTGCGTAAATATGTGGATTACTTGCTAAATATGACGTATATGTTACTGTGAGAAATCGAAATTGAAGAATGTCATGATTCACATGGTCGTTTGGTGTATGTTAGAAATTTGGTATGTGTTGACAAACGAATATGTGAATCTTGACATTCTAAAATTTCGATTTTTTACAATAACATATATTATACAATATATGAATATTATTAGTTGTATATTGTGATAATTATTTATGCTGTTCTTTTATAAGAGTATTGATTTTCAATTTTTTAAAAATATCTTTTGTTGAATTAGTATTTTAATGTAATTTTATATTACGGGGACCGAAAAGTAATCAAAATTTCTTCGATGAGCTCATTCACAGTTAATTTGTGTTTAGAGACGGTCAATGAAAAATCGAAGGACTTTTTTAAAAAGGGAATCGAACAATTGTCTTTAAGCTGACAAAACGTGTTAGAAAATAATGGAAATTAATTTGTTGATTTATTATTTAAGATTTCTTTAATAAATAAATATTTGTTGCTATCAAAGAAAAATTTTGATTACTTCTCGGTGCTCCTAATATTATCTACAAAGTTTTAATCAATTTTAAAAGTAAAATAATAATAATATAAATAATTAACCAACACTTCTTATTAATGTTATTACAAGTGTTAATAAGTTAATACTTATTACCGTTAGATACAAGTGTTAATAAGTTAATACTTATTACCGTTAGATACAAGTGTTATTTATGTAATTAATTTAACATTATGTAAATATTTTTAACATTAATTTAATAACAATATTATTAATCGATTATTAATATATATTAGTTTATTCAAAATTATTATAAGTATGGTTCGATTGAAAGGATTCCTATAGGGATTGGTAGAAAATAATAGAGAGATAACTTAACTAATTCTTAAGAAGGAGAGGGAGAGAGAGAGAGAGAGAGAGAGATAGAGGTCGTGATTACGGAAATGGGTTCGCGACCATCGATCGTCCTATATCCTCTCAACCGATTCGATAACTTCGATAAAAATCGTCTCCTCTTGGACGACGTCCAAGATCGATACGGAATTTGTCAATTCGTTCTTCTCTCTTGCTTTCTCTCTCTCTCTCTCTCTTTTTCTCTTTGTCACATGACGATTTACGACGTCCACTTTGTTCACATTTCTTTCTCTCTCTTTCTCTCTCTTTCCCTGTCTTTTTTTCTTTCTGAGCCTCTTTTCTCTTTCCATTTCGTATCTTATTCTTTTACACCGTCGAAAAAATCTTTGAAATCGTGAAATCCCCGTTAGCCATCTTAATTCGAATATTTGTTCTCCCATCTATTTTCCCGCTAACGTGAATGTGTGATCGAGTAAAAGAGATGGAAATGGTTTGAGGTTTTTCATCAAAATACCCCCTTAACACGCCAGGGATAAAAGCTGACATTTGAAAGGTAAAAGAAGATGAAAGATAACACGAGTAGGAGATCTATCCATCTTTTTTTCTTCTTTTAAGGAAAAAAAAATTACACACTCATGTCTTAATGATTATTAAGATTTTTTTTGTTCATCATGCGAAAAAAGGATGGTTGCTTCAATATAAGAATATTGCGTTTTTTGGATTATTTTTTCTTTCGCTATGTTTTCCTTTTTAATCTTCGACAAAGGTCATCGACATTTACCAAGGCTCCCTTTCATCGATCCAGGGACTTGTAGACATTTTTTAAATAAAAATTATAATTAAAAATTAACGTATAATGTTAAATAAAAAAAATTACCAATAAATAATTGAAGTTTTTTTTTTCTATTACAATTATTATATTTTTATTAAATGAATTAAATACAAATATGAATAAAAATAATCAAGAATTAAAAATACATATACATAATGAATTTTATTATTTATGATATAATAGTAATTAATAAAATTAACTTATACTTTTACACGAGTTTGTTGATCTCGAGCTTGATGAAATTGTTTCGATTTTAAAATGAATAATTCATCATGACAAATATATTTATTTTAATTATTAATAAATAACTTTTCTTGTAATCGTATTTAAAAGTGATGGTATAAAGTATAATAAAATAAGTTAGGAAGTTGTTTACAATGATCGACTATCATGATTAAACTGTAGTGAGGTAGTCAACGCAAAACGATTACATTGCTTGGAATACTCAATGCCGATTACTGTGCGACGTTAAACGAATCGGTGAGAACGGTGATTTTACCCGGTACGATTAATGTTACCTCAAACGATCACACGCTTAATGTAACTTTGCTATATAACAATAGTGTTTCGAGCTGGTGAGTTTGCTTGTTCACCGATTTATCGACTCACATCCGCTACGATGCAATTCCTAAATAGAGGAAAGCACGCGTTATACCGAACTACATTGCACGCATTGCTGGTTACATTGCTAGTCAAACTCTTTCCTATTTTGTTCACTTTCTCTCAATCTACCATCCCCTTTTTTTTCCATGTGATCAATTTTAGAAATGGAAATATTGTAAAAGAAAATATAAATGTATTAGAACGTTTCGGTTTTGTGTGTTAACACATGGTTGCTTTTTATATTCGGTGAGTATTTTTTAAAATAAAATATTAGCATGTAAAAAATATCAATTAAAATTTTAAATAAATAATTTATCTATATGATATACGTGTTTATACCTTTTTATAAATATGGACCATTTATTTAAAATATTAATAAATTATTATTTATGAGTTATCAAATTTAAAAAGAATTATTTGAATTTTTCTTCTATTTCACACATATACCTTAAATATATTTTCACATTGAAATTTTGATCTCCAGTTGGTCAGTTTTGGGAAATAGAAAATTTGATTTCGTATGTATGTCCTTTGTCAAATGAAAATGCAAAAAGATATTTGATTTTTCCTTTGTTAACAAATTTGTCAGAGATTTTTATTTGAATTTTTCTGCGAGACACGGAGAAAAGTGTATTTCTTGAAATATTTCGATATTTCGTTGGAACCTTTTGAAAACTATAACGTTTTGTTCGCGATTGAAAATTCGACGAATAAAATTTATCGAATATAAAAAGAAAGAGAGAAATAGTTTCTCTCTATTCTTTTTCTTATTCTTCTTCCTTTTTCTTCTTCCATTTCCTAGTTCACGCAACAAGGAATCTCAAAATCTTTTGAAACCATTGTGAGAACTTTAACGACACGATCGATCATGCCAGTTATAACAATTCCCAAGTAAACTACAAGTTTACTTTCGAACAATAATCACGTAGGAACAACTTACTTTTGAGCGTTACAAACCCTTTTGTCCTCTGTTCGAAAATTCAACTTACATTTAGAAGTTACGAAATTCGAACTATAAAATTATCGTCTACCGGCAACTTGAATGTAATTAAATATTTTTCTCATTCTCCAAAGTAAATTAATCAAATTTACATACGATCAATAATTCTTTTACCAAATAATAAGAATTTATTTTACAATTTATTAAAAATGATTAAGAACATTGCAGTAATTACAAAAGTAAACTAATGTAAGATAAATATTCTTAAAAAAATATATTTAAATAAATATTCGAAAGGATTTCAGATTGTAAGACATAATTACGCGTAAATGTAATAATTTATGAAATAAAAATATAATCAATCGATTATTATAATAAAAAAAAAAGAATGACTAAAAAAGATTCTTTTTTTTTTTATGATAAAAGTTGAAAAGAAAACGAATTGAAAGGAAAGATGTATGGGATGAGTTGTAAGGGTTGAATAGAAATCGGTATGTTAAGTAGAAAGGTTGTTAGAGAGGTGTCCTTGAATCAAAAACGATGGGAGTCGACGTTCTTGGAGTCATTTCGAAACCAGGACGTTAGACTTGGAAGAGAAATCACCTCGTGGTGAGAGGGCTTGACCTCGTGCCCTGCCAACATAATCCGGTAATTTCTCTTTCTTGGTTGTCCCGGAGGTTATGGTGGTAAG